GATGGTTTGGTCAACAGAATAAAATAAAACAAACATTCACAAAATGCTTATTTTTTTTGTTGGTGGTGATGTTTTTCACAATGCCTGGTGCTGCTTTTAAAACCCAGACAGGACTGTTTGAAAGCACGCAAATTATGATCCTTTTAGATTTCACTGCAACCACCTCAGGTGCCTAGCTCACCAGACTTCAGATATGAAAGAAGAAAGAGAGACATGCACTCCCTTCCAGAAGGAATGGCGATTATCTATGGCTACTGCATTCTATTCCATGTTTACCCCAGTACAAATATCTCACTCCAACCAGTTACACCCCTACTGGACAATTATAATAATCAGAAGCAAAACAAATGTATATAAAATCAGAGCATTCAGACTAAAATTAGAGTTTTACATGGTTGGTGAACCATCAATCTAAACAGGTCGGTGCCTAAACTATGGTCCGGAGCCCATCCTATACATGTAAATATATAGTCTGGCCATGAGCCATTGATGCCACCCAGTCATGGGCTGAAATGTACAGTTGTCTCTGCATTCTATTGGACAGCGTTAGGGCCAGTCAGAGCAAAAAAACCACATGACACATTCATAGGCCCGGTGCTGGCCACGTGAGTGCCCTAAGCGGAATTTCTTTTTGCGGTCCATCTCGTTAAGATGGTTGTCGGGACCGGGAGGGGGGTGGGGGTTGGGGGTTGGGGGGTGGGGGGGGTGCTCCATAAGGGATGATGTTAGGGGAGGGAGCTGGTGAGTCTTCAGCTGCTTTTTGAAGGATACCACTGAGTCCACTGATCTCAGGCTCAGGGTGAGAGAGTTCCAGAGTAAGGGGCCACAAAGCAAATGATCTGTCACCTTTGGTCTTTAGTCTGGCACGCTGTACAACAAGTAGGGTTTGGTCACTGGACCCCAGGGCCCTTTTGGGGTGTAGGGACTGAGAAGATCACCATCGTAGGATGGTGCTTGTCCATGTAAGGCCCTAAAGACCAGAACCAGGATCTTGAAGGTAATCCTAAAGTTGACTGGCAGGCAGTGAAGCTGGAAGAGGAGGTGCCATGGGTGTGTTTGGAGGATTTGGTCGGAAGCTAGCCACAAGCACTCTGAACCACCTGTTGATGGTTCAGGGAGGTTTTACTCAGACAAATGAACAGAGAGTTGCAGTAGTTCAAGTATGATGAAGTGATAGGAGTAACAGGAATGTTGAAGTGCAAGGAGTAGAAAGTACAGATAATTGTGTAAAAAATGTCGGAAAGAAATAAAAAGGCCGCTAATAGAGAATCACTCCGGTGAAGTATAGATACCCAAAGAAGCATTTGTACTTTTTTACTTGACACTTTTGACAAACAATATACAAGTCAGACTGTACATAGTTGTACATACATGTACATAGTTGAGTCCCATTAAAACAACACAATTTTTATTTTCACCACGTTAACTCTCTGGAGTCTGTGGTATTAGCCATTTTGACAAGTTTTATTGTTCACCATCATATTTCACTCTATATTTTATTGTTTATGCTTTGTTTGGTATCATTCTTTTCAGCACAACCTTACCTATGTGAATTTAGAGTCATTTCTTTGTTTTATCATACTGTGTTAGCACACTGAACCTGAAAGTACACAAAATATATATATATATATATATATATATATATATATATATATATATATATATATATATATGTATATGCGAGTGGAAAAAAAATACATTTATTGCAGGGAAAACAACAAACATTTGTAATGAACCCTTTTCAGCACTCAGAATAAAACTATGCGGTGTGATATAGCAAACAACTGTTAAATACAAGTTTTTTTTGTTTTGCATTTATACAAGGCATGTCTCAGGGGTCTTCATGCAAAATTGCTGTTATGCTGAAAATGGAGTCCCACACTTTCTGCCACTTCCAAAAATGTCCAGCAGGAGACAGGATCAGGTTTAGCAAGCCACACAAGTATATGTATGTATTTACATTTTCATTACATACATATATTTACAAAGAGTGTGTCCAAAAGCCACAGTGTATGTGTGCCAAGCCTCAACGTAACACACACGGGAACATCAGAGGCGTTACAAATCCAGTGAGTGTCCTTCCTGACTTTGTCCACCCGGAAGCAGCAACGAGCAAACTATCCTGAAGCAGAAAGTCTTCCCTGCCTGCACCTAGCAACTATTTATGTGTGACTTTGTGACTGAGTGAACCGATTAAAGTGGTTTTGTGATTGGGTGATGTGGTTTGTACCTCAGCCTATAGAATGAGCTTGGTCTTGATTTTCTTTCTAACCCCGGTGTGTAGCAGCTGTTTGTAAAACTTTGTTCTGCATCTACAACAGATCAAATGTGCAAAAGAGAGTTCAGCTATTGCTTTCAAACTGGTTCAAGTGGTTCTGCACTTAAAAGTTTTGTGGTTCGGGTAGGAACACTAGTGGGAGGCATCTACCTGCTTTACGGCAATAGCTGACTACTGTGCTAATATAAAGACTAAACGTTAGCTTTTTCACTTTGCTGACTGTCAATAAAAAGTACAAGATGAAAGAGAAGAGGAATAATTTTGTGCTCTCTGTTAGCATCATGGCAGAGCCTGAAAGTAAAAGTAAGAGAGTGTAAAGAATGGGTCGTTTACATCTTACTTTATGTTTCATAAAATGCGAGGTTCTATAGAAATATGAAATATCAATCTGATGGATCTTTGACTATTTTAACCAGAAGATCAAAAGTTTTTATTGCAGGGATTAAGCGACACTTCATATTAACTCCAAGGAAAGAAAGAGTCAGGTTTAAAATAGTTAAGAAATTTATTTCTACACAATTTAAACAAGTCTAACTTTAAACACTCTGTGTACTGATGGAACTAAGGTGGAGAGAGACGAGATGAATGATGGTGTGTGTGTGTGTGTGTGTGTGTGTGTGTGTGTGTGTGTGTGTGTGTGTGTGTGTGTGTGTGTGTGTGTGTGTGTGTGTGTGTGTGTGTGTGTGTGTGTGTGTGTGTGTGTGTGTGTGTGTGTGTGTGTGTGTGTGTGTAATGTTATTCAGAACCAGCAGATCCGGAGAAGCAGTTAGGTCTGAGTGGGAGTGAATGTTTCGCTCTAAACTTTAGTAGGAGATTTATAACACACATGAAACGCCATCTGTCGGTCTACGTACCCAGGGGAAGCCTCCATTAGATCCAGAATGGCGAGGTCCTCGTGGGCCCTCCTTGGAACCGAAGCCGGTAGAAAATCAGCGGTGCCGACCAAACTAGTCTGGGAATGCTTCCAGATCACGACAGGTTATCACTGGCGTCTCCGAGACCCTGAAGGGGTTGTGAGCTTCAGCTTTTATTCTGAAGGAACCGTTGCGGTCAGGTGTAACTTGCAACAGATTTTATCCAGCTTGTCGAGGTTCTTTTTGGCTGAAGAGGAAGTCCGGATGGCCGGTCCGAGACTTCTCTAGAACGCTTTAACTAAAGAAAAGGTGGCGTGGGATAGTTTTTATAACTGTCATATTTTGGTTTATTGGCGAATCAGAATTTGACATGCAAAAGAGGGTTTATACAAACACCACAGATAACCCCGCCCAGCCCCAGAAACGAAGTTTCTGATTGGATCAGACAAAAGGAAATATGTCATGTGACTTTAGCATTACGTGTCATTAGTGTCTAGTGCAAATGTCCAAGATTATAATTACTTGTAAAATACTACTGATCACAGGATTACAATATCAAGTAATAACATTGTCATTTCACAGATTGATTGAACATTCGGCTCACATTATTACTGGTAATTAACAAAGTTGTTGATTATGTATTTATCAAAATAGTCCTTCGTCTTCGCTTGGTAACAAAGGTGAAGCAGTTCAGTTGAGCAGAGTGCATGAAAGACCTTGGCCACTATCTCATGTAGATTTGCCTGTCGGAGACTTTATGTCTCTGCTCGAGCAGACGCAGCAAATCATGACCTTTAGGTCAAAAACAGGACATTCATGATGCTACAAGAGTAATGTCTTTAGAGGCAAAGCAGAGACCTAACACCAGAGTGAACATCTGCGTGATCTACAGTCCTTAGAGGGAGGTGGAGGAGGCTACAAAATCACCGACTGCTTTTGACCTGGCTTTGTTACTACTGGACTTGTAAGCAGTAATATTTTTTGCCCAACAGTGTGGATCTTTTTACTTTGTGGCTTATTATAGTGTTTGTTGGCTCATGTTAGCATAAGCTAGTTGTTAGCGCTTGCTACAGCAAGCTGTGGCAGAGTTGTTTATGGCAGCTGTAATTCCACTCTCAACCAGTAGGAGCAACGTAAAGTTTTTTACGTTGCTGTAAGACAGACAGACAGACAGGCTAAAATAATATTTCTGTGTTCAGAAAGGATTTTCATACATTTATCTGTAAACAGGAAATTGTATTTATTATTTTTATACATCTAAGAGCATTTAAAACATTTCTATACAACATATTTACCCTACTAATGTGAAGTCTCCCAAAAAGCCTCATTTTTTTAATTTTCTTGCGAGTGTTTGTAAATGCAATCTGATTCAATAATGCACGAAACCACAGCAAGCTTTGAGACTTGAGGATTGTCTGGGGATGGCTTCTTACTGTAGTTGAAACCTATAAAATCCACATCATGGAGCACTGTGGCTGCAGTGAAGGGCAGGGTGGCTTATGATGGGCTGGCTTACCATAATCCTGTTAACCCTGCTTGTTAGGATAAAGTCAGAAAACCAAACATGTGAATTGATTGGGAGGACAGGATTTTTAGAATTTGCTAAAGAAGGGGATCTTAACATCGCTGGAGTTTTCTCTCTGATGAATACCCAGACACTGATAGATAATGACTACCGGGCAGTCCCTTATTCATATTGTCAAACGTAAGTGAATTAACTCAAACTGCAATGTGCAATTTCTGCTTATTATTTTGTGCTTTCTCTGTAAAATGATCTGGTTATACTTTACACTGTTTGCAGCTTGAGTGAAAGAGAACTGAAGCTTGCCAGGACGATGATTTTTACAGTGGAGGAGATTAACCGGGATCCCATGCTCCTCCCTGGAGTAAAACTGGGTTATAAAGTGTTCAGTGGATGTGGGACTGACAACCTGATTCGAGCAGCGGTTGAGGCTGTGACTGAAACTGGCTCACGGGTCTGCAGTAGTGGGAGTCTGGCCGTTTTAGGTCACTCATCCTCCAGCGTGAGTGACGGCATTAACACCATAATAGGCGCTCTATCTGTACCACAGGTGATAAGAATATACTCAGCTCTTTTTAAATGTATGCACCTTTTTTGTCTTAATGTGTTTTTATTTTATTTTTTCAAAGCTGAGTCACTTTTCTACATGTGCCTGTTTAAGCGACAAAAAGCGATACCCAACGTTCTTCAGAACCGTTCCAAGTGACAGCTTTCAAAGCACAGCTCTCGTGCAGCTCATGAAATTCTTTGACTGGCGCTGGGTGGGGATCATATATTCCTTCGGAACATATACAGAAGAAGGTACAGCGGCCTTTGTTAAGAAGGCAAAGAAGATGGGAATATGTGTGGAGTTCAGCCTGATGTTCTCTCAGACATCTCAGAGAAGTTTTGAAGTTCTAGTGGAAACGCTGTCGAACTCCTCGTCAAGTGTGGTGCTGCTGTTAATGCCCTCATACGACGTCAGATCCTTTTTGTCAGAAATGGAGAACTATAAAATAACTGGAAAGCAGTGGGTTGGCAGTGAAGTTTGGGTAACACAGAAAGACCTATTTTCTGTTGGGAGAAAGCACATCTTACAGGGAGTGGTGGGCTTTGCCCTTCCTGATGCACCTATACAAGGACTTGGTGAATTCTTGCTGAGCCTAAAACCATCAGATGAACCTCAAAGTGCTATAATTAGAAAGTTTTGGGAGAAGGTCTTTAAATGCAGCTTCTCTTCATCCCAAACCTCTAATGTCTGTACTGGTGCAGAAGATCTACGGAGAGTTTCTACTGTATACACTGATGTGACATTCAGAGTGGAGAATAATGTATACCAAGCTGTGTACGCTGTTGCACATGCCCTGGATGCACTACTGCAGTGTCAAAACGGCTTAAATCCTTCCACAGGAAAGCCATGTGTGACCAAGAATGACGTCCAACCTAAATTAGTAAGTTGTGGGATTTTTACAAAAAGACAACATACACTTAAATAAAAATATCAATTTGTTTTGTCTAATGCAAAATGCTGTCGTTATTTTATTTTAGTGCCTAGACTAAAATTGGTGTCTTGTGTTTTTAAAGGTGTGGGAAAACTTAAAACACGTGAACTTCATAACAAAAAATGGGCTCAAAGTTTTCTTTGATGAAAATGGTGACTCGGTGGCCCTTTATGACCTTGTCAACTGGCAGATTGAAGATGACGGCTCTGTTCATATAATACAGATTGGTGAATTTGATGATTCTCTACAAGAAGGCGGGGGATTAAAACTAAAAGAAGACACAAAGATAGTTTGGGGTGGCAACAGCCATCAGGTATAAAGTATAATTTTGAGCATTTTAAAGCAAGAAATTCTTTTAAAACCGAATTTTTAAATTTTGTCTGCTCAGGTGCCAAAGTCTGTTTGCAGAGAACCGTGTCCACCAGGGACGCGGAAAGCTCTCAATAGAAATAAACCTGTATGCTGCTTCGATTGCATTGAGTGCCCTGAAGGGACAGTTAGTAATAAGACAGGTAAGTGAAGATTTCCCACAGAGATTATTTTTATGATAAATGCAACAAAAACATAAATAACAAATACAAAAGCTGCATTAATGCATCATTTGTGATCGTTACAGATTCCATTGACTGTTTCATCTGTCCGCCCGAATTTTGGCCAAATGAAAACAAAGACAAATGTCTTCCAAAATGTACCGAATACCTTTCCCACCATGAGCTCATGGGGTCACTTCTGACTGGATTGAGCACCGTTGGTGTGTTGTTGTCCCTTTTGATATCAATAATGTTTTTTACTCATAAGGAAACCCCCATTGTACGAGCAAATAACTCTGAGTTGAGCTTTCTGCTTTTGTTTTCATTAAAACTATGCTTCCTGTGCTCCCTGACCTTCATCGGTCGACCCACTCAGTGGTCCTGCATGCTGCGTCACACGGCATTCAGCATCACCTTTGTCCTCTGTATCTCCTGTGTTCTGGGGAAAACAATGGTGGTCCTAATGGCCTTCAAGGCAAGACTTCCAGGCAGAAATGTGATGAAATGGTTTGGACCGGCACAGCAGAAGCTGTGCATTCTTATTTTAACCCTCATACAAGTTGTGATCTGTACTCTTTGGCTAACAATTAACCCCCCATTCCCACAATTGAATATGCATTACTATAAAGACAAAATCATTTTAGAGTGCAATCCTGGTTCTGCTGTTGGATTCTGGGCTGTTCTAGGTTATATTGGACTTCTTGCTGTTTTGTGTTTTATTCTTGCCTTTTTGGCTAGAAAGCTGCCAGACAGCTTTAATGAAGCCAAACTGATCACATTCAGCATGCTGATATTCTGTGCAGTGTGGATCACCTTCATCCCAGTCTACGTCAGCTCTCCTGGCAAATTCACAGTGGCTGTAGAGATATTTGCTATTCTGGCCTCCAGCTTCGGCCTGTTGCTTTGCATTTTTGCTCCTAAATGCTACATTGTTATTCTGAAGCCCGACCAAAACTCAAAAAAACATTTACTGGGAAAAATGCCACCAAGTACAATGTAATCTGTATCTCCAAACTGATCCTATGGTGGAAGGAAATCTTTACAGCATAATTTGTCAAATAATTAATTTTTTTAATAGCATTTTGTGGTTTGTTAATATATATATTAAAGGTACAATATGTAAGAAATCCACTGGGAAAAAACACAAAACAATCTAATGTCTCACGTAAGGTTATGCTGAAACAGATTTCATTCTGAGCCGACGTTGTCAGTTTTTCTCCTTTTGAAAAAACCCAAGTGTGACGTAGTTACTGTTTACACTCTGAGTTTGTCCATTTTACCGATAGTTAACGCTGCAGCCTAGTATTTGTAATTTGATACCAGCCAGGAAAAAGCTCCAGAGCTGTTTAAAGAACTGAAGCCAGTAAAGCAGAGTGACCCAGAAGTAATTTCCTGCAACCCTAAGAAGCCACAAAATCCTTTTGTTTTACTCTAATATCAAGTGAAGCAGCCTAGAGGCTAACATTGAGCTAACAATGCTAACAGTGAAATGGATGCAAAGAGTCGACTCTACAGGTCTCTCAACAACTTGATATTACATGAATAATGAGTCAACAGTGAGTCGTTCAGAATTATAACAGAAAGCAAACAACACTTCCTCTAACGCTACATGTTTTCCGGAGACATGTTACCATAATAAGTGTAGTAAGTACTTCTAATTGTAAAACACCTGAGTGCCAACATCAGATAATACAACTAATCTGCTTATCTGTGTAACTCGTCTTTGTTTGTCAACTAGAATCTTCTAGCGCTGATCCATAACTGGCAACAGCCATGCAAATTATTGTATTGCTTAGAAAAATGGACAGCAGTGAAATACAATTACTGCTGTTTTTTTTAAATTAAAACATGGATAACTGGTTGGCTTTAAAATACCCACATGATCATAACCAACCAACTCATGTAGAAAATTGTAGAAGTAACAAAAAAAGCGACAAACCATGATTTGGGCACCAAAGTAAATAATTACTAGACCAGTTAGACGGGTGTTGCAGGTGATGACCATAGAATAAACTAAGAGCTTAGTGGCATGTTGGATTAGCTAGAGCCCTGATCTTTCCTACATACGATACCTTGAACACCATCAGATCTAGACACTAGAACACCCAAGGCAGTCATTTTGACTGGTTTCATAATTTAAAGTGTAAATCTTTAGTTCTATAGATCTCACGTTGTCCTTGATTCCTGACTTTTCTTATGTGTGCATGTCCTTTAATTCCATTTTAATGTATCAATAAAATAACTGATCAAAAAAGCAAATATGGTTGCTTTATCTTTATCTCCCAGAATTGTTATTCTGATGGTTCTATTATTTTACCCAGTAATTTTTTTCCCCACAGATAGCATCACAACGTTGGCTTGCTTTTAGCACCCCTCGTGTCCGTTTGTAGAACCAAAAGCAAAACTTATATCTCTGCTGTGCATTCGTCTTTTTAACATCTTAATCTAACAGTTGGCATGTCTCCTCAGCCTTCATTAGATTCTGCATGAGTGACTCATCACTAAATTAACACTTTGACACTTTTCATGATCAAAAACATGCAGGGAACGTGCTGGAACCAGACTGCAGCACCAGGTATGTCAGATCAATTATTTTCTAAGTCCAACAGAGCAGATGGCAGCTCTGAAGTTAAATATTCTGGCCACAGGAGGCAATAGGGGCTGGGTGGCCTTTCGTTGACCCTGTAAAGGGTCATTGGGTCCAGAAATATCTATTTAATATGATTTAATGCTATTCATATTTTATTATTGTATTTAATGTATCTCTTTAATTATGTTAAAACATACTTCTTATTAAAAATCACTTAACATTTGTGTTAATGCAACCAGTCTAATACGACTGTTCCTCATGGGAATCAATGAACAATCGATGAAGTGCGCTGCGTCTTAAGAGCTGTGTGCTCGTCTCATTTTGACAACGCAGCACAATCATGCAAAGTATTTGTCTTCTCTTTCTGTGTGTTCTCTGCATGAACACAGCCAGTGGCTGTAAACTCCTTGGTAAATTCCACATGCCGGGTTTGGTTAAAGAGGGTGACATTATGATTGGGGGAATTTTTCCAGTTTTTAACAAAGAGATAGGCAGCATTGCGTCGTTTCAAGGAGAACCTCCTGAAATTGTGTGTGCATTGTAAGTTAAGTTGTCTCAGGCTTTTGCAGAAGTGTATCTTTACTGTGGTATTTTGTTTCTCATTTAGGGTAGATATGTACTTTTATCACCTCAGTTACAATTGGTGTCCCCAAATTTCTTCAGGTTTGATCTGAGAGCTTTTCGATGGACCCAAATGATGATGTTTGCAATAGAAGAAATCAACAAAGACGATGGTCTTCTTCCAAACATATCTCTAGGCTACAGAATCCTTAACTCTTGTTCATCTCCTACTCATACTTTACGAACTGCATTAACTCTGGTCAATACACCAAGGGAGGTGGAAACACCATCAGGTTGCCCTCCAACTGTGTCGGCTGTCATAGCCGAGGCAGGATCGTCTCAGTCCCTGGCTGTCGCGGGAACTCTTGGACCATTTCGAATGCCAATAGTAAACATTTATTTTTTTGATGTGGAATATGTAATAATGTAAATGAAGGAGATGTTGCCTTGCATTGAATCTTGTTTTATGGTTTCTTTTCCAGGTGAGCTATTTTTCCACATGTGCCTGTCTCAGTAACAGAGCAAGGTTTCCTACCTTTTTTCGAACCATTCCCAGTGATTATTTCCAGGCAAAAGCTTTGGCAGCTCTAGTTAAACACTTTGGCTGGGAGTGGATTGGAGCCATACACTCAGACAACGATTATGGACGAAACGGCGTGCTGGCCTTCACACAGGAGGTTAAAAAGTTCGGGGTTTGCATTGCTTTTGTTGGAACCGTTCTTCGAACGTACCCAGCAGATAAAATTCTAAAAGTTGTTGCGATGATTGAACAATCATCTGTAAAAGTAATTTTGGCGTTCAGTGCTGAAGGTGACTTCTCTCCTTTGATGAAAGAGGTGGTGAAACACAACATTACAGGAATACAGTGGCTTGCTAGTGAAGCCTGGATAACTGCTCCTCAGCCTTCTACCCCTGAAATGTACCAAGCTTTTGGTGGAGCACTGGGATTTGTGGTGCAGAAGATGGCTATTCCAAATCTAAATCCTTTTCTCACTGCTATTAGTCCATATAAAGATCCAAATGCAGCTTTTGTGAAGGAATTCTGGGAAATAATTGTTGGCTGCAGACCTGTTTCACCTGAGATTGATGCAAGTGCTGATAAAACAAAAGGAACCTGCAGCGGCAATGAGACATTACTGAACTCCCAGGATGTCTTCTTTAATGTCTCGGAGCTCAGAGTGACTTATAATGTGTATAAAGCTGTTTATGCCATTGCACATGCTCTTCATCAGCTTGTTTTCTGCAAAGCTGCAGGAGAAGAAGCAGCCAGGCCCTGTGTGGATATATCTGACATTCAACCTAAAGAGGTGAGAAACGGTGGACATGAAGTCTGCAGTGTTTGTGACCGTCTAGAGATAGATGTGAAGAAAGTGCATCCCAGTATCTAAAAGGCAGTTTCCTTTTCTGCAGGTCACCTATCACTTGCAAAGAGTAAAGTTCATGAATAAGTTTGGGGATTACGTGTTTTTTGATGAAAATGGCGATCCTCCTGCTTCCTATGATATTATCAACTGGCAGCTGGAAAACGGGCAGGTGCGACACGTGACACTTGGTCATTTTGCCTCCTCTGCAAATGGTGAATATAGGCTCAGCATTCAGGAAGAAAGGATTGTGTGGAGGACAGGAAAAAATGTAAGTTTTATCCTTCTGTCTTTTATTTCAACGTTGGTACTCATGTTAACGTACTAAATATGAAATATTCTGATATACTTTGATAGATTAAACAACTTTTTTATTCTTCAGGTCCCAACATCAGTTTGCTCTGATGTTTGTAAAAAAGGAACCAGGAAAGCTCAAATGAAGGGGAAGCCCACATGCTGTTTTGATTGTATTCCATGTGCAGACGGAACTATAGCCAACTCTACAGGTAGTCCGACCTGACACGGTTGGCATGAGAAAGTTAAAACAGAGTCTGACATGTCATTATTTTGACATGAAAATATTTTATTGACATTTTTTAAATCCCTGAACTTAAAATATATATTTAAAATGTAAATAAGTCATTCTGATTTGAGTTTCACCATAATTTCTTTAACAGGTGCAGCAGAGTGCACGCCCTGTCTGCAGGAATACTGGTCTAATCAGAGAAAAGATGAGTGTGTTCCAAAGAAAATTGAGTTTCTGACTTATCATGAGCCAATGGGAATAGCTCTCACCATTGTATCCATCCTGGGGGCCTTCCTGTCACTGGTTACCGTGATGGTTTTCATCCACTACAGAGAAACTCCTGTCATCAAGGCCAGCAACGCTGAGCTGAGCTGCTTCTTGCTGTTTTCTCTTTTCCTGTGTTTTCTTTGCCCTCTCACTTTCATCGGCAGACCTACAGTCTGGACATGCATGCTGCGCCGCACAACGTTCGGTTTGACGTTTGCACTCTGCATTTCTTGCATTTTGGGGAAAACAATTGTTGTTGTAACTGCATTCAAAGTCACACAGCCCAGCAACAAAGTTGCTATAAAGTTTGGCCCTGCACAGCAAAGGGTGATAGTCAGCTCTTGCACTCTGATTCAAATAGTCATATGTGTGTTGTGGTTGAAATTCAGACCTCCTCTCCCTGATAAGGTTTTTCGATACAGCAACAAAAAGATTGTGTTAGAGTGTAACACCGGGTCTGAGGTGGCCTTTTATGCAGTGCTGGGATACATAGGGGTCCTTGCAGTAATTAGCTTGGTTCTAGCATTCCTTGCAAGAAAGTTGCCCGATAAGTTTAATGAAGCCAAGCTGATAACCTTCAGCATGCTGATATTCTGTGCAGTGTGGATCACCTTCATCCCAGCATATGTCAGCTCTCCTGGGAAGTTCACTGTTGCTGTAGAGATATTTGCTATTTTGTCCTCAGCGTTTGGTTTATTAATCTGTATGTTTGCACCTAAATGTTACATAATTTTGATTAAACCAGAGAAAAACACCAAGAAGCATGTTATGGGAAAGACTTAATAAAAAATATGAAAAAAATAAAAAGATCACTTACATGTCCAATTAAAACACAGTACTACATATTATACTTGTTTTATTCTTTTACTTTATTATTTATTTTTGATCTTATAATGAGATTTGGTGCATAAAATCATGGGTAATTTAGTTTGGAGTAACGGTTGAACATTTATCCCCCCCCCCAAAAAAAAAAGTTATGAATAACTAAGGCATCATGTGCAAGTTAATAAAATGCACTTCATGTTTTAAATTGTTTAGTTAATTGGTATTTATTTATTTTCATCTACCCTAAAATTAAGGTATAATTTCTTACCTGATTTGCTTAACCTACACGTTTGTATCTAAATGCTAAACACTTGTAATAGGATGTCTTACTAAGAAAGATGACAATTTCTTAGTTTTTCTGTGGTCCTGCTGCTGCAGTTATTTTCTTTTATGCTAAGTTTCAGTCTACACTTAATCCTCCTCTGTATTTGCCATTTCTGCTATACAGAACATCACAATAAGCAAAAATCTTTTACTTTGCATTGATATGTCTGCAAGCAATCATTATACAAGGGCATGAAATGTGTCTGACGCTCCCCCAACAGCAGAGTGCAAATGTAACCTAAAGGGTGTAAAAGTGCTTTTACAGCACCGCATGTATTATCCATACATGTGCAGCTGCAACAGCATGAGGTTACGACTCACAATGTAAACAGTTTATATTCCATCGACAGAAAGAGCTATGCTACTGATTTGCAAATAAAATGCTTATTAAATGCACAAAAGTACCAACAAACAGATCATTTGCATAGCAGATTATGGGACTGTGTTACATTATTGCTGCTTCACTACTACATAGGATTTGCTTTATGCTATCCACCTTAATCCCAGCCCCCAAGATCTCGGGCTTGAAATATGCAACCAACTTCCGGTTTGGCATTTGCTTACATTGTAGCTAGATGGATGATGCCGTCCGTTCACGCTAATCCACTTTTTATGGTCTTTAAAGGGATGTAAATATGTAGGAACACCAGCTGTTACAGCTCAAATGGGGTACCATTACAATTCGTCTGCCTAAAAGGGGCGGGAGATGATATGAAAATCTGACTAGCATTCAGTAGCATTTTAGCTACTTCTTCACTCTGCTGCACCCGACAGCGAGCCAATGAACAATCCTTAAAGCTCCGAGGCTTATCAGAACCTTCATAGTAAGGCTGGTTGTGTTTTGTTGAATGAGGTGGGACGGTCTTATTTACTTAAAGGCAGACATAGCCTTAAATCCCTCATCACTAGGCCTGGGTTTAAGTTTTTACATCAGGCGAAATCCAAACAGCAGGTTGCTCATGTATTATGCTGTGTTTCATTATTGTTTTCCACATTTTGATAATGTACAATGTTGAACGTTGAGCTCAATTTCAATATATTTTCTGCTCGTTAAGAGCATAATTAAATTAAATAATTTTTCGGATCTAAAGTCAATGTAAACGTTTTTGAATGATTTTATTTCAGAGTGAGAATGCAGTGAGACAGGAAAAAAACGGGTCTTACTGATGTACAGCTAACTGGAATGCAGGCACATGCTGTCATGGTGCGACGGTGGCACAGGAGTTAAGTGCTCGCCCCATAGTCGGAAGGTTGCAGGTTCGAGCCCCGCTCAGTCTGTCGCTGTCGTTGTGTCCTTGGGCAAGACACTTAACCCACGTTGCCTGCTGGTGGTGGTCGGAGGGACTGGTGGCGCCTGTGCTTGGCAGCCTCGCCTCTGTCAGTGTGCCCCAGGGCAGCTGTGGCTTCATTGTAGCTCATCACCACCAGGGTGTGAATGGGTGAATGACTGGTTGTGTTGTAAAGCACCTTGGGGGGTTCCAGGACTCTAGAAGGCGCTATATCAAATACAGGCCATTTACCATTTACCATTTCTTAATCCAAGGCGCATGTTCCAAACATCGCTCTTGTAGCCACACATAGTTACTACTGCCAACAGTGCAACATGTTCACCAGCTGCACTAGTACATTTTTCTGGGGTAAACAATTTTCAAAACCCTTTTGAAATGTTCAAATAAACTTCTAGGAGAAACAAAACTACACCACGCAAACCAATAGCTAGGTGCTACTTCCGGTACCTCATGGGCTAACGCTCGTGTCGATGTTTCTACATGAGCTGGCCCAGGAATGAAGTGGAAATGCCACCCCCAAAGTTTTGCATTTCTACAGAGATACCACTACTTACTTAAAGCCACAATGTGTAGGTTTTTACCATTAATATCTGGAAATATCCCAAAAAATGTTGAAAATGAATTAAATGACACCCAATAGCTGAAAAATAACGGTGGCTTTGTAACATATAACCATGAAAATTGGATCTAAACGACATGGGAGCGGGTCTAAGTGTCTGGGCGATGCCATCTTAGACGCCATGTTTCTTTCTACGGGAGCTTGTGAGGACAAAACGCATTTCTTTGTAGCAAACGGTTACAAAATCTTCGCCATTCATAAACATTGTTTTACACATTTACCTCTTCGCTTGTTGCCAGTGATGAAAGGGAGTCTAATGTGCTCATCATTTTGCTGGAGGTTGAACGATCTGATGAAGTACTTGTTTGAAAGTTGTGCTCCGAGGGATTTTTGACCCTAACGGCCATCTGTTTGTAAAGTCTTACTCAAACACAAAAACATAGCTCATTTACAACGATTTAGAAATGTACTCCCTCTTACTGCCAGGGAAAACGCACAACAACACTTTAAAAGCACCAGATAAGAACTGGGGAGACATCATGGCATTGCATTTTAAAATCACAAATCTGGCATCTGGGTCTCAGATAGTTCAGCCATTGCATCAATTATGTTATTGGTTAAAAACTAGAACGTGCCTGAAAGTGGCTCCTGAGAACCAGGATTGACCTCCACTACTGTAGCAGGTCCATAGCATCTATGTCCTAAGCACAATTACCTTTTTTAATTGTGACTTTTGTAACACTGATTTATTCAGGAGAGAGATGGTTGCATGTAGTGAATTAACCTTTTATAGCCAAATATGGCATTTAATACACATATTCCTGAGTTTTATTCTTCTTCTTCTGGCTCTTGGAGGGTGCAGGCGCTTTTTTCCTCCTCTCTTCCATATCTTATCCTCAGGCCCTTTGTCTGTCTTTGTGTGCTGGGTGCACAGCTGCTTCTGCATTTTTTCTGGAAATTGGAAACTGAAATTCACTAAAATGGATCTCGTCAGTTGGTCACTCAACGTGATTGATTCAATTTTTTCAACGATGAGAATGGGAGAAGGGGCTCCTGGATGCCCCTCCGCGACAGTCCCAGTTGGACACATCATGGACTCCTGGAAACAGTGGAACTTGCTTTGTTCATCTCAGCTGTCTGTGGAGGACTCTGAAGACGTTGATATTTGTCGTGTTGGTGACAGGTTTCCTGCTCACTGGCCTTGGAGGCTACCTGGCTTACCGGAAAATTAATGAGCTGTCGAGGAATATTGGCCTGATCCCGGAGCTCAGAGATGGATTGCACCGCGCTGTGAATTCTCAGACTCACATAATTGTCGAGATGAATCATAAGCTTGGGACTTTGGCGGAGATTCATTAATGGCACAAAAGATGGTGCCATCAAGGATAGTGGACGAATCAGCACGGACTGGGATAGATTAATGTCCATTATTAGGATTTTGAGAGGTTGAGGACCAACAAACTGTAAGACAGAGAGGAAATTATCTCTGTCTGGCCCCAAAACAATTTCTAATCGGAATCTGGCGCCCTTGAGCCAGCAAGGCTCCAACGAAAACTCCCCCCCTCAGAAGATATGTGGAATGTGCCGTCGCTATGGCAACTCAACTCTGTCTCCTTTCCCAGCCTGGGCGGGACTGCGGGAAGGCCGCTGAAGCGTCCAGGGTCACTGCAACCCTCCAACCCTCAATGCTCCTCCCCTATCCACACTGAGGTGACATGCACTGCTTCTATCGTGGCTGCAGGAACTGAAGTGGGGATAGTCCCAACCCACCACCCCACCTAGTGGACACTTATGTTGTGTTGTCTGAAGTCTGTTGCATATCTGTCTGAGGTGTTTTTTTTTTTTTTTTTTTTTTTTTTTTTGCAGAGTAAAGCTGCCCTCCCGGGGGAGGGTAGCTCTGAAATGCCTTTTTTTTCCCTCCACCTGAACCAATCCTCATGTAACCCCTCTGTTCTCTATTAAGGTAGCGCGACTCAGGGTTGCGAATGACCACAGTCACCAATTCTTGTCATGTGTCTTGCCCATGTATGTCTGATCTCTGAATTGTGTGTCCTGAAACTCTAATTTCCCTCTGGGATTAATAAAGTATCTTTGATGATTGATTGATTGATTGATTGATTGATTGATTGAGTGTGTCTTTGACAGGATTTGTACTTTCCTTGAATTTCTGCTTAATTGAACTCTGCTCATCTTCTGCCTCCTTGTAGAATGTATTAAATACTGAATGTGCCCATTAAATGTTTGTATTACTGCGGTTATATTTACCATTTGCCTAATTAAATATCCATTTAATTGATATTAAACTATATAAGGAGCAATCTTTAGAAACATTGTTAGTTTAATCTATTGTTTATTTCACTTTTACAATATGTCATGTGATAATTATTCACATTTATTAGCCACAATTTTTATAGTAAATTCAAACATTTGTTAAATGAATACAGGTCAAATACAGTTGTGGAGAACTGTGTTTGCCTGAACTGCACAAAAAAACAATGTATTTTTTTCCCTGTTGAACAAGCATTATCTGACTAAGATAGCTTCACCTCCAGGGAGATCTGTTCACATCCAACACAGCTGTTATAAGAGCTCCATGCATACGTTTTCACAGTGCAGCACAAACATGCAAATCTATAATCTTGTATTTTTGTGTGTTTTGCACATTGACATAATCTCTAGCTGTGAGCTGTTAGGCCAATTTGACATGCTGAGTTTGTCTAGAGTAGGGGACATAATAATCGGGGGAATTTTTCCAGTTTTTAACCGAGAGGTCAGCCACATGTCTACATTTGAGAGCAAACCTCAACGAGTGACGTGTGCAGGGTATTATTCTTTAATGTGTATTCTCTTTTCACGCACATGCGAGGTTGTTTCTAACCTTTTTGACGCGTGTTATTATGTGTCTTGTCCTGCATATTTTTCAATTCTTCGCAGGTTTGATCTACGAGCTTTTCGATGGGCTCAAATGATGATATTTGCAATTGAGGAAATTAATAGAGATTCTTCACTTCTTTCGAACATATCTCTTGGTTATGAGATCCTAGACTCTTGTGCATCTCCCACCATCACTTTACGTGCTGCATTAACCCTGGCTAGTCGATCTGAGGGGAAAGGATGGACTCCTCCTTGTCTTCCAACTATTTCTGCTCTTATAGCAGAGTCTGGATCCTCTCAGTCACTTGCCATTGCGACAACTCTTGGACCATTTCAAGTGCCAATAGTAAGAAGAAAAAACAAAATCATATTTTTTGCCCTCTGTGAAGCAACATCACATGGTATTTGAAATGATCTTTCCTTCTGCTTGTTTTTCCAGGTGAGCTATTTTTCCACATGTGCCTGTCTCAGTAACAGAGCAAGGTTTCCTACCTTTTTTCGAACCATTCCCAGTGATTATTTCCAGGCAAAAGCTCTGGCAGCTCTGGTTAGACATTTTGGCTGGGAGTGGATCGGAGCCATACACTCAGACAACGATTACGGACGAAACGGCCTGCTGGCTTTCACCGAGGAGGTTGAAAAGTTTGGGGTTTGCATTGCTTTTGTTGGAACCGTTCTCCGTACGTACCCTGAAGATAAAATTCTGAGAGTTGTAGAAATGATCAAGCATTCTAATGTGGAGGTGATTCTGGCTTTTGTTCCCGAGGGGGATTTTTACCCTCTGATGAAAGAAATTGTGAAACAGAATGTAACAGGATTCCAGTGGATCGCCAGTGAAGCCTGGATAACAGCAACCCGACCCTCTACACCTGAAATGTACCAAGCTTTTGGTGGAGCACTGGGATTTGTGGTGCAGAAGATGGCTATTCCAAATCTAAACCCTTTTCTTACGGCAATTAGTCCATATAAAGATCCAAATGCAGCTTTTGTGAAGGAATTCTGGGAAATAATTGTTGGCTGCAGACCTGCTTCACCTGAGATTGGTGCAAGTGCTGAGAAAACAAATGGAACCTGCACCGGCAATGAGACATTACTGAACTCCCAGGATGTCTTCTTTAATGTCTCGGAGCTCAGAGTGACTTATAATGTGTATAAAGCTGTTTATGCCATTGCACATGCTCTTCATCAGCTTGTTTTCTGCAAAGCTGCAGGAGAAGAAGCAGCCAGGCCCTGTGTGGATATATCTGACATTCAACCTAAAGAGGTGAGAAATGGTGGACATGGAGTCTGCAGTGTTTGTGACTGTCTAGAGATAGATGTGAAGAAAGTGCATCCCAGTATCTAAAAGACAGTGTTTCCTTTTCTACAGGTCACCTATCACTTGCAAAGAGTAAAGTTCATGAATCAGTTTGGGGATTACGTGTTTTTTGATGAAAATGGCGATCCTCCTGCTTCCTATGATATTATCAACTGGCAGCTGGAAAACGGGCAGGTGCGACACGTGACACTTGGTCATTTTGCCTCCTCTGGAAATGGTGAATATAGGCTCAGCATTCAGGAAGAACGGATTGTGTGGAGGACAGGAGAACATGTAACTATTCCAACGTTTTTCAAAAAATGTAACCACTCTTGGTAGAATAGATACTGTAAAGCATGGCTTTATTATCCTGGCATTACCAAATCTATCTCTCAGGTTCCCACATCGGTTTGCTCTAATGTTTGCCCGAAAGGAACCCGGAAAGCTCAGATCAAAGGAAAACCTGCATGCTGCTTTGATTGTATTCCATGTGCAGACGGAACGATCACCAACTCCACAGGTAGAGTGATGAGATATAAAAAAAAATTGTCACAAAGTGTTCTTGCTGCTTTAGATTCTGCTTTACTTCTTACTTCATTGCGTTTAGCTTATTTGCTGAAATGTTCAACGTTTGCATGCAAATGCTGATTGTTTATCCAACAGGTGCAGCAGAGTGCACGCCCTGTCTGCAGGATTACTGGTCTAATCAGAGAAAAGATGAGTGCGTTCCAAAGAAAATTGAGTTTCTGACTTATCATGAGCCAATGGGAATAGCTCTCACCATTGTATCCATCCTGGGGGCCTTCCTGTCACTGGTTACCGTGATGGTTTTCATCCACTACAGAGAAACTCCTGTCATCAAGGCCAGCAACTCTGAGCTGAGCTGCTTCTTGCTGTTTTCTCTTTTCCTGTGTTTTCTTTGCCCTCTCACTTTCATCGGCAGACCTACAGTCTGGACATGCATGCTGCGCCACACAACGTTCGGTTTGACGTTTGCACTCTGCATTTCTTGTATTTTGGGAAAAACAATTGTTGTTGTAACTGCATTCAAAGTCACACAGCCCAGCAACAAAGTTGCTATAAAGTTTGGCCCTGCACAGCAACGAGTGATTGTTTGCTGCTGCACTCTGATTCAAATAGTCATATGTGTGTTGTGGCTGAAGCTGAACCCCCCTTTCCCTGATAAAGTTTTTAAATACAACAAAAAGATTGTGTTAGAGTGTAACACCGGGTCTGAGGTGGCCTTTTATGCGGTGCTGGGATACATAGGGGTCCTTGCAGTAATTAGCTTGGTTCTAGCATTCCTTGCGAGAAAGTTGCCCGATAACTTTAATGAAGCCAAGCTGATAACCTTCAGCATGCTGATATTCTGTGCAGTGTGGATCACCTTCATCCCAGCATATGTCAGCTCTCCTGGAAAGTTCACTGTTGCTGTGGAGATATTTGCTATTTTGTCCTCAGCATTTGGTTTATTAATCTGTATGTTTGCACCTAAATGTTACATAATATTCATGAGGCCAGAGAAAAACACCAAGAAGCAAATAATGAGAAAAAATGCTAACAAGAAAGATGGCCTGAATTATGAAGATTTTTACAATAATCAAGTAAGCTCCAGTTAAGAAGCAATATCAACAATTCAATGCCATTTTCACACATAAGAAAAAAATGACCTGCCAATATTTTGTTTCGCACTATTTCCCTATTCTTTATTTAATAATCATCTGGCAAATACTGATGTAATAATTGTGAAATAGAATAAAGAATATACCCTATGTATGTGTGTGTTTGATTACATTTTTACTGGTCTTAGTGGTATAAATACAACAGAATAAAAAAGCAATTAAAACAATCAAAGTTCACAAATGGCTATTTTTGATGAATGTTAGATTTTAGCCATGAGTGTTAAATAGAAATATTTAACAAATATTTCTATTTAACATTCACAATATATTTTCTGCATAGAACACAGAATGAGGGTAGTCTAGAAGTGAAATGGAACATATATTCATTTATATCTATACCTGCTTGTTTGTGTTCAGGGTCCCAGGTTGGCAGTGCTAATTAAAACAGTTGAGAACAGGGAAATGATAGTAATGATATAAAGTTTTTTCTTTGTAACTTACTTATGATTACCTAGTTTTAGATATATGTCAATGTTGTTTGGCCCAACTGATTTAAAAACGTTGCTGCAATGGATCGATTGCCATCTAAATCCCAATCTTGACACCCACATTTATCAACAATCAATTCAACCACTGATTAGAATTTCTAAAGATTTCCAAAATATTTTGATTTCCGTTTTTAAAGAAATACTGAACTGTTTCCTGTCCCTCCACCCTACTGGTTGAAAGTGGAATAACAACTGTCATAAACACCACTGCAGCAGTTATCGCTAACAACGAGCTAATGCTAATGTGAGCAAACTAATACTAAAATAAACAACAAAGTAAAAAAAGAAACACTGTTGGACAAAAAAATGTCAATACTTACATGTCCAGTAGCAACAAAGCCAGGTCACCATCATTATTTGATTTTGGTAGCCTCCTTTAGCTCCCGCAAGCTAGTGTAGGCCGTCAATGTTCTAGCTCTTTGCTTTGCCTCTTTTACTTTTACTTCCAGGGTTCACCATAATGCCAACAGAAAAGCAAACTTCTTTATTTTTCCTCTCATGCTTTTTATTGACAATTGGCAAACTGAAAATACTAGTTGCTAGCATTACAGCTAACAGCCATAAAGCAGGTTAAGTGCATCCCTAGAACACCTACTTGCTCAGCGGTTTTTGATCAGCAGAGGGCTGCAGAGTGGTGTGAAAGTGGTCAAGTTTCTAGATCAACAATCACTGAGCTCAATGTTAAAGTTTAACATTTATACAAATGCCCATTGTTACTTCGTCAGCTTTTTGCTCAAACTAGTTTATATAATTTTAACATTGGTGTGAAAAAGCTAAACATTTTGTGCTTGAGCCCATTCGTATTGAATTAGGTTGAAAATTATTTAAATGAGAACAAATTAAAATACAACAGGAATTATTTTCAAGTTTAATTAAAGTTTATCTCTGCATGATATTTTTCCTGCTGTTCTTTTCAGGTTTCAACAAAATGATGTAACACTTGTGGACAAACAGACAGAAGAGAAGGCTGAGTGCTGAGGCCAAAATGGCAAAAACATGGACAGCTACAGTGTATTTTCCAGCTGTGCTAACATAAACTGGTATAAAAGTAATCCAGACTGCAAAGAATATCAAAATGCTGAATGTGATTAACTTAGCCTCGTTAAAATTATCAGGCAACTTTCGAGCCAGAAAGGCCATAATTAGGCACAAGCAGGCCAGAAGGCCGATGTAGCCAAGGGCAAGCCAGAAGCCAACATCTGAACCAGTCACACATTCAATGATGATTGTGGCACTGTGGTAATCTGTGTTAGAATTGGCATGAGGTGGACTAGTAATCAGCCAGATTACACAGATGAGTACCTTGAGGTAAAATAAGGGGAAAAAAAAGAGTTGTTACTTTTAATATAATTAAAATAAAAGACTGTTGAACTAGGATTATCATTACTACCTGGACAGATGTTCCCACAAGCACGCCTGCTCTCTGTTGCTTGGATCCAAACCACTTCTTGACATTACTACCTGGTAATCTGGACCTGAATGCCATTAAGACCACTGATGTCTTGGCCAGGAGGCACGAAATGCAGAGTGCAAAACTGATCCCAAATGCTGGATACCTGATCCGACAGAGCCAGTCTGAAGGCTCGCCAAGGAACAGAAGGCCAACCAGGAAACAGATGGTGAGAAACACCAAGAGAAGGAAGCTAAGCTCCATATTGTTTGCCCGAACTAGTGGCGTGTCTTTATGTTTGTAGAATATGGCAATGATTGCAAGGGAAATGCAAGCTCCAAGGACAGATACAACACACAGCAGGATACCCATAGACTCGCTGTAAGAGAGATACTCTACAGTCTTTGGGATGCAACGATCTCTGGCTTCATTAGGCCACCTGTCCTCGGAGCAATGTAAACACTCTACTGAATCTGGAGATGTAGAAGGAACAGAGGATTTAGTTCATTTTTATCCAGGAAAAAAGAAGCCCTGACATCTTTTTACAGGTGCTATAATGTTATACAATTAATATTATTATTATTTCTTTATACGTATTTAAACAAACACTAACAAGGAAATAACTATGTAAAAAGACAAAACAGGTGTGTTTTTGCTTACCAACCAGAAATATATCTCATGCAGTTAGTGTGGGACTATATATATATATCTGTATATATATATATATATATATATATATATATATATATATATATATATATATATATATATATATATATATATATATATATATATAATATATTATATATATACACATGCATACCGGTATGCAGAAGTTAATAACAATGCAATTATGAGGAAGAGCAAGATGAGTTGAGCATATGCACAAAGACAGAACGTACCAGTGTTGTTACTAACTTCTCCCTCAGCACATGGGACGCAGTCATAACAGCAAGCAGGTTCGCCCTTCCTCCTAGCAACACGAAAACCTGGAGGACAGCTGTTGCTGCATACTGATCTGATTGACTGAGAGGAAAAGTTAAAACACGTCATAATCCTCCTTTGTAGAACAAAATATAATCCTTTCAGACATAAAATTACAACTATTTTAATTTTGCATATCAGATACCTTAACACATCTCAGGACTGAAAAAGTTTCATAATGGTTCATGTAAATGATTTGTATAACTGTCCATCTGCTGGCATTGTTTAATTGCAATTATTCTGACAGAAAAATTATAGTAAAGTAACAAAACTGCTACTCGCTGAACAAATAGTGCTAAAGATGAATAGCTTTGCAGCTAACGTAGCTCCCCAAATAACCATATGGCCGATACAATAAAACTGTACAGCGGTACAAAAAGAAGTATAAAAGCTTGTTAAACAGTGTTTTCCTAAATAGTTGGGAAGTAAAGTTGTTCTGGATGACCTGGTACTCTCTAGTCGTTAGCTTATCAATCCAGTCAAAACTAATATCTGTTTCTCACCACTGTGTTTGTGTTTTATTAAATATTCTACAACAGGTAGTTATTTTATTTTTTTACATTTTCACCAAATCCCACTTCAGTTGCTCTGAGCTGTCACTTTAATGCTGTGTTTCCAAAACATGGCAAAAAGCAGAGGAATTTTGGCTTATTATTCACAAAAAACATCTGATTTTTTTTATAAAAGCAAACACAACATGATGGATTTCAAAAATGTACAACTGATCACAGCTCATGAAAAATATGCAAATTAGTCATAACTTTGCTGATTTAACACAGCATGTTGCTTACAAGCAACAATAGTTTTGCTGACATGTCAATCAGCAGTGCACACAAGAGTCTCAGTGGTGAACATGGTCTCAGACCTGTCTGTGGAGAACACACCTGCTTTCCTGCAGGCCACAGGATCATGGACTCGTTTATGACCAAGCGGACACCATCGGGTAACGAGCCATCAAAGAAACCTACTTTCACCAAATTTAGAGACCCATCGGGTTTCCTCTGCCAATTCATCAGGTCATAATAAGCAATGGGATCTCCATTTTTATCAAAGTTGACTGTCTTTCCTAGCACTGAAAAATTTGCATGCTTCATGTAGTGGAGAAGCTGCAAGAAGAAAATATGGGAAAAAAATCAATGAATTCTGAGTCATAAGAAACAAATGATGCCTCTATTACTTCTATCCCCACCTGCCAAGGTTTGAATCTTTGAGGGTTTGCACATGTCTTATTGAGGAAAGGACCCTCTCCATCGTTGCAGTTACTCATGTCTTGCAAGGCGTGAGCAACCAGATAAACTGCCTTATAGACATTATAGGAAACTCTGAGTTGTGTCACATCAGAATAAGGAGAATAAACATCATTTAATAATTCTGTCCCTTTACATGACACTCTGTCCCGGTAGTTTTCCGACCCGTGACGGTGCGTGTTCACCGAACCATTAAGTTGACAGTCAAACGTTTCTTCCCAAAATTCTGCCAAGAAAGGTAGCTCATGAATGGACGATGGAGGTAAATCCATGAGATACTGCTGCAGCCCTGGAATCCCAGCAGCTTTCTGAATGGCAAAACCTAGTGTTCCCAGAAGGAGATTGTCAGATTTTTCCCAAAGTGACCTGGCAGTTGCCCACGCCTCACTGGCAATCCACTGGAAGCCGGTTATATTTCGTCGTCGGATTTCTCTTAGAATGCCCTGCATCTCTGCCTCGCCAGAGAAGTTTATGATGACCTTTGAAGATGTCATCTAATGAGTGAAAATTTAGACATAAGAAGTATTTCTTGATAGTTTCTGCATTATTTGCATTTAATGTCAAAATGTGCACACTGTGATATGCTCACTCATGCAAAAGAATGACACGTAAATTATACATTTTGGATAGTAAAATTAAATCCAATTACAAATTATTCAGATAAATTCTAATTCATAATTTGTGCAGCATAAAAAATGCATTTCTGTATTTCACTTTAAATGATTATGATTGAACATTCTCCTTACAACATCCTTCAAAATAAAGTTAAAAAAAAACTAAAGAGATTATAGTTATTTCATTTTTCTTTTTTTTCTTTTTTTTACCATAATTTCCCAAACTTTGAGCAAGCAAAGTACCTGAATGACTTTCATAAGCGTATCAAGATCCTGCTGGTTGAGCCCCACTGGGTAGAAGTGTGTGTATGCAGCACAAACACCAAAGTGCACGGATTCCTGAAGGAAAAGCTGGATGGCAGAGCGGGCATAATCAGATTCCGCACCAATGACTCCCACCCAAGTCCAGCTAAAGAAGCTGACCAGCTGGGCCAGTGCTTTTATTTGGAAGGCATCACTCGGCATTGTGCGCATGAAAGTAGGAAATTCCTTTTGGTTACTCAAACAGCTGCAGGATGCAAAATAACTCACCTAGAATTACAACAAACAGAAGTTGACCTTTTGCTTGTTTTATTGATATAAATGACAATCACTGAATGTCACCTGACATTATACTTAAAGCATTAGCAGTGCAGGACTTAACCTGAACTGTGAACCACATTTTAAAAAACAATTTTTGTAATATTTTCAGAAACAGTTTGAAGTAACATTTAAAATCCACATTTCATTTGTATGTGCAAATGTGCCTTCTTCTCTTTGTGAAAGCCAGTGTTGCCAGATGTACAATAATTATCGTATTTGTACCATAATTTTGGGCTCTGTACGATGTACGATCAATAGTTTCAAAAATCCTCAAATGTACGATAATTTCACATTGCATCTAGTAACACCGTCTTTTGCTGTGGCTTTCCCAAGTCCATTACATAATTTTAAACTGTTCTGAAGTCAGATTTCACCTCAGTGCTTACAGGTTTATGCTATTGTGTTTATTACAAAAACTGACTCTGGAACTAGGTGAGTAGGCTGCTTTGTCATTTATTGGGTCAGTTTTTCCACTGCTGTGATGTTTTGTCGCGTGCGTTTAACCTATGTAGAAATGACATAAATAGGACTGTGCAAATGTGCATATTGTGTCAATGCGTGGAGGTTGGAGTGGTGCCGACACACTCTGCACGTTTATAGGCATTATATTACTGGTTTTAAAGATGTTTATTTAAACAGGGCAATATAAAACACCTTCTTTGTTATATTATATTGGAGTGAGAAGTTGTTTATAGAACGTTATCATTTATTTATAATGTACGATAATTTGTACTGAAAAACGATAATTTAGGCCTCTCTGTACGATATTGTGGGATTTTGGATCTGGCAACACTGGTGAAAGCACAAAGACAAATTCCAACAAAGTTCAGAGCATCTCACCAGCGGAATATGAAAAGAGCCTAGACTTTGCAGCAGAGCTATAGATACCCCGGAACCAGCGTCTCCTATGATTACAGAGGATACAGTTCTGTTCACACCAGCGCAGCCTAAATCACTTTCACTCTTCTTCACGATGTCATTTTTGAAGTTCCTCTCTGGTTTTCCATTGACCAACAGGAAAGCTGATCTCAAGGATACGGGCACGTCGTCGCAGCTGTCACGGATGTGGAACCCGAGCTTGAGGTGTGGCAGGAGATCATGGCGCTGGTTGATCTCTTTGATTGCAAAAGTCATGGTCTGCATCCACCGCAATGCACGAGGGCTGAAACTGCAGAAAAGCACAAATCTGCATGTTAACAAATACAACAGTTCAGTAACATAAAATCCGGATTATTTTGCACAACAAATTGCATGTAACTTACTAATTGTATGTATTGGGCAATGGTTTTGATTTGTATGTTATATGAAAGGACACTGGACTGTAATGTAGAGGAAATAACCCCCCTATAACAACATCTCCATCTTCATAAAGACTGATTTCCTCCTCTTCACCCAAGTAAATGCAACTATCCAGAGCCGCAGCTGAGCCAGGATGTCTCTTAAGTAGAGACAGAAACATAATTAGCTTTGCAGCCAGTGATGCCATGCCAAGACTCGGCGGAAGGAAAAGCTAATAAAAAACAAAAACTGCAGCTGTCTATAACCTACACACGTACAGAAAATCACTCTCTGCACATTTGATTTATGTACTGTGGTTACATCACAGTCTGAGAGTACCGCCCAGGCTCGGTGGTTGTGACATCACTAGACACACGACATTATTGTATGTTTCAACAAATTAAGCATTCTTTATCATCAGATTGGATTATTGACTTGCTTTCATTTTTTCATACATTTACCTCACTTAAAGGGGTAATATGTTAGAATTTCACAATGAAATGTGAAATTTCTAAGTCTAAGGTTTAATGTCTCAGTAATGTTGGACGGTTACATTGGAACTGATTTCTGTCATGTCTTCTGTCCCTTGTCTCCCCACTCCACTCCATGTTTTCTCCCTCCTCCTATGTCCTTGTCCTTCCTGTCCCTTCCATACTCCATCTCCCTAGTCTCATGTCCCCCCATCTCCCTAGTCTCATGTCCCCCCATCTCCCTAGTCTCCTGTCCCCCCATCTCCCTAGTCTCCTGTCCCCCCATCTCCCTAGTCTCCTGTCCCCCCATCTCCCTAGTCTCCTGTCCCCCCATCTCCCTAGTCTCCTGTCCCCCCATCTCCCTAGTCTCCTGTCCCCCCATCTCCCTAGTCTCCTGTCCCCCCATCTCCCTAGTCTCCTGTCCCCCCATCTCCCTAGTCTCCTGTCCCCCCATCTCCCTAGTCTCCTGTCCCCCCATCTCCCTAGTCTCCTGTCCCCCCATCTCCCTAGTCTCCTGTCCCCCCATCTCCCTAGTCTCCTGTCCCCCCATCTCCCTAGTCTCCTGTCCCCCCATCTCCCTAGTCTCATGTCCCCCCATCTCCCTAGTCTCATGTCCCCCCATCTCCCTAGTCTCCTGTCCCCCCATCTCCCTAGTCTCCTGTCCCCCCATCTCCCTAGTCTCCTGTCCCCCCATCTCCCTAGTCTCCTGTCCCCCCATCTCCCTAGTCTCCTGTCCCCCCATCTCCCTAGTCTCCTGTCCCCCCATCTCCCTAGTCTCCTGTCCCCCCATCTCCCTAGTCTCCTGTCCCCCCATCTCCCTAGTCTCCTGTCCCCCCATCTCCCTAGTCTCCTGTCCCCCCATCTCCCTAGTCTCCTGTCCCCCCATCTCCCTAGTCTCCTGTCCCCCCATCTCCCTAGTCTCCTGTCCCCCCATCTCCCTAGTCTCCTGTCCCCTCATTTGTCATTCAGGATTTTTACTTTATTTATTCATGCAATTTCCATCCCCCAGCCTATTAGTGTTTTATTTCTCTTTAGCTTTCCTTTCCCCTTTTTCTATATCCTAGTACTGTCAGGTCCCTGTTTGTTTAGCCTCTTTTTGTGTCCTTGACTTTTGACCCCTGTGTTTTCTCTTAGCTGTTGTCTTTTATGTCTGTTCCTTCGAGACGTTTGAGGTCTGAGCTCTAGCTCCTTTTAGAGGTCCCTAGGACTCGTCTTTTCTGCTGTAGGTCCCAGACTATGGAACAATCTCACTCTGCCTATAAGGATGGCTGAGTCTCTGAATGAGTTTAAGTCTCTTTTGAGCAGAAACACATCATGTTGGCTTGTTTGTTTAATCATAGTTACTATGTTTTATTTGTCGTGTTTCTAACTGTACAGCACTTTGGTCACTTTTGTGTGGAACGTGCTCAACACATAAAGGTTGATAGAATGATTTATTTCCTTTGATCTAGAGTAAGTCCTTCTCTGTGCCCCACAGCCATTCCAAGTAGGTTTCTTTAGTTTCTGTTATCTTTTAGCCCCTTTATTCTGTTCCCAGTGAAGTTCTTCCAGTGTTAAGTTCTGCTATCTTCAGTAGCCACCCTTCCTGATTTATTTATATATATATATATATATATATATATATATATATATATATATATATATATATATATTTACCAGACTTTAGTTTTTAGTTCTGGATTGTTGTGTTGTATTGAATTATGTTATTTGTTTTTAGCTATAGTTATTAATGTTCATTAATTGACGTATTTTGCCTGCCTAATTACTTTTCACCTGCCCATCATCATCATCATTACTTGTCACACCTGTTCCTTGTCTTTAACCACCTCCTCTGTGTATTTAAACCTGCTCTGTTATCCATTAAAGGATTTTTGACTGCTTCAACTGGCTTCTTCTGGATTCACTGTGTTTGGTTCTTACAACAACTTTCATTAATTCCTGACCATTCTCAGTTGGCTGGAGGGCTGTCAACTTTTCTCCTGTAAAAAACTGAAGAGGGATGTAGTTAATGTTTCCAGTCTGAGCCCAGGGGAGCAGATTGGATTTTCAAACTGGGGGGGGACAAAGTTCCAATGTACCCTCCCCCAAACACATGCACACACACACACACACACACACACACACACACACACACACACACACACACACACACACACACACACACACACACACACACACACACACACACACACACACACACACACACACACACACACACACAACTATTGCAAGCACCTAGAGCTCAGTCAGTTTGTGTAATTTCATCCAACGGTTTACGTGAAAACTAACTATTATATACGTGTTTGAAGCCATTATGCAGTGGAACGCTGGCAACAAAGCTCTGCCTGATCAACACTATAAATGATAAATGATCCGCACTTGTATAGCACCTCTCAGAGTAAGGACTCCAAAGTGCTTTGCACTACAGTGTATCATTCATCCATTCACACACATTCACACACTGATGGGGATGAGCTACGATGTAGCCACAGCTGCCCTGGGGCGTACTGACAGAGGCGCCCCACTATTTAAATCAGTCATTTGTTATTCTCCCAATCAATTACTAACCAAAACCTCATGCTTTATGCAAAACATTAAATGATTTTCAGCATACCAATCTTTACAGAAAACATAAAAGCCCTAATAAACTGCACATAAAATATAATAACAAACAATATTCACTTATAACTTAGAGCAGTAGTTCTCAAACTTTTCAGCCTGACCAACAGATGTTCCTTCGTATTTTTACGTTATTAATACATTTTCATTATATGTGGAGAGTTTTAATTTATATATAAATACATAAATCTCTTTTAAAATTTTATATTTTACTTATTTATGATTATGTGGCACACTTGACTTCCATACATAACGCATCGGCATCTGCCTCTTTTTACGGCTTTTTTTTTACATTGTTGCTACGTCTGTCACGTTAGCGGTGTTTTACCATCATTTCTACATCCATCGCGTCCCAGAGAAGGTTAAACCAACATCAAACCCAACGTTTGGAGCTTGTAAACTCCACACACCTCTCGAGCAACACCAGCTGTCTGATGCTACAGTTTTACAGCCCCCAGCACGACTAGGAGATGATGTTGGTTAGAGAGCGTAAAGAAAGGTGGTTGTAAATAGGAACAAACCAAGACTCACTCTCTTAAAGGAGTTTATTTAACTAAAAGGGTCACTGCTTTATGCAGAAAAAAGGATAAAAAGTCACAAACACATACAGACATCCAAAACTGGAGTTTCCTAAATTAATGATAATAGTAAACACAAAGTGCCGGGGTTTAAACCGGGTAAGGAAAAGAGCAAGATTAACACAAAAAGCTCCACCAAAAGGGGTGAGCTAGATCTCTTTAACGAGAATGCCAAATAAACACAAACAAGCTCTAGAGACTAGGAAGCGTTTATCTATACCACACAGGTAACCAAAGTGAGACTGTAACGTCTGGTCGAGGAGGGAAAAAGGAGAGCAAACTCTACTGCACTTGTTCTCTTCTGCACCCCCCCCCCCCCCCCCCCCCCCCCCCCCGTATCACCTGGCGCTCCCTTTTAACGAGGAGCATCCCTGACTTGGATCAGCTACACCTGGCTCATCTAGAGCCAGGAGCGCAGGTAAGTAAGTAAGTAAGTAAAAGTTTATTTGTATAGCACCCATTGGCCACTAACAGACGGCGTCTGTTACACCTCCCCCCATCAAAACAACAACTAAAAGGAAACAAATGACAGGAGTTGTTGCAACCGTAAAACTAATGAGAGCTCCCGCTAGCTAACTACACGCACAAAAAAACTAACTAACTAACTGACCCCTGGATCTCGGAAGGCGGGCAGATTAAATACAAAAATATCACGCTGGCCCCCAGCGCGGCGGAGTGTCCCCGAGATGTCCGCTTGCACAGACAACACTAGCCTTATATGAGATCCTCACATCTAAAAAAATAATAATATCTACTAGGGAGCCTCAATCTACATGACTTCTCGAAAGCGCGTCAGCCATCACGTTGTCCGTCCCTTTCTTGTGGCGGATTTCTAGGTTGAACTCTTGGAGGAGGAGGGCCCATCTCATCAGACGCTGGTTGGAATTGAACATGCGCTCCAAGAAGGTCAGCGGGTTGTGGTCTGTAAAGACAACTGTGGTGAAATGACTGTTGATGTACACATGAAAATGTTGCAAGGACCAAATTAAAGTCAAGGTTTCCTTTTCAATGGTGGAGTACACGCGTTGCGTCTGACTGAATTTCCTAGAGAAATAGCAGACAGGGTGATCAAGCCCATCGACATCTTCTTGAAGGAGAACAGCTTCTGCTCCAGCGTCAGAGGCATCCACCTCAAGTTTAAACGGCCGGGACAGGTCAGGAGCAGCCAGAATCGGAGCACAACAAAGCAGGTTTCTAAGAGAAAGGAAAGCCTGGTGACAGTCTGGGGTCCAAGAAAAGGGAATGTTAGTACTCAACATGTCAGTTAAAGGTTTTGCAACCATTGAAAAGTTCCTACAAAAACATTGGTAATAACTGGTCATGCCTAGGAACCGTCTTAGCTCCCTCCGAGTGGTAGGTGGAGGAAAATAGATGATGGCCTGGATTTTGTCATTAAGGGCCCTTACTTGACCTTGGCCCACTTCTTTTCCCAGATACCGGACAGTAGTTTTAACAAACTGGCATTTTGCGAGATTTAAAGTGAGATTAGCAGACTTGAGTCTATCAAACACCCATTGTAAGGTCTGAAGGTGAAGATCCCA